TTGAAGAACCATTATAGCCCAAATGTGTTTTGAAAACTCTCTCCGAAACGTTCTAATGACTCGGTCACCACGACTTGACAGCTTGCTACCTGGTTTTGCAAAGAAATGGGCAATATACGACGGCGCATTTCCCCTTCTAACCTGCCATTCGATGTCAAGGAAACTGAAGGTAACCAATCAGAAAGCTTTTCAAGTTTCCAAGAACCAGTGATAACGACATTTTGTTTTATTTTTTTATGTATTCTTTGCCACATATTACGTAAGCCTTAAATTGGTGCTCAATCTCTACACATTTTCTTAGTTCCCTAACATACATGTCCATTTAACTTGTACTCAAGAAAATGAACACACATTTATTTTAAACAATTGCAATCTCAAATATTTTTCTGCACATTTTCTGATCCACATATGATATCCGCGAGTGTGTTAATGGGGTTGTGTAGAAGAGTTTGAAAAGCTGCCGAATGTTTAAACAAAATGACCTGGAACCAACGGCTTCTCTGGGAGAAATTGCGAATACAAAATTCCATAAATGTAGCTTTTCTCACTGTTTATTTTTCTATATTTTTTCATTATATAAATACAATGAAAACCAGTAACAAGACCCGGCTCAACTCTGATATTGTTTCACAAACAAACACACAACGAAGACAAACGATAACTTATGGGGCAGCAGATTAGAGAAAAATATTTCAAGATAAACGAAACATGAAAGTTCAGTTTAATGCTGAAAGAGGTAAAAAAAAGTTGGGCAGCTCAATTTACTAGCATTAAGTTGCCATTCCTTACGAATAAAGAATTAAATTAACAGTTCAGCCATACAACACGGTAAAAACGAACTTGCAAAAACTAAAAAACTCAAACCACATAAAACGAATAATTTCCTCTGAATGGTGGTAACATATACTTTCCTTTGTAATACAGGAATCATGCTCTTGGGCACTGGTAAATGATTTTTAAACAAGCTGTGCTTCAACATCATAGGCTTTCTCACATTATTTACAACTCTGTAATTTGAGAAAATTCAGAAGGTACACCGGATATTAGACAGGCGCCATTCTTTTAAGCGTCTTTTTTCTACCCCTCCAAACAATCTCTAGAAAAAATTGCAGCCGGTTTTGAGATTTTGTTTTACAATTTTCATTAATTTTTAGGCACAAATTACCAGAAAACTACGTGTTTTATCAAAACATGGTATATGACCTTCTTAAAAGATCTGATTTTATGGAATAGATTTCATTTAAGACAAAAATCTTTAACATTAATATTGTACTTCAGCAATTTTAATGTTTCGCAATTTTAAAAAATTACATAGGGTTTACCGAAAATAGGAAAAGCACCAATTTTGCCGCCCTTTGATGCATACGAGAGGAAATTTGAAGAAAATCTTCGAAGTCGTTTTTGAACAATTTTTTTTTAATTATCTAGACTATTACACGCAAAATAACGTGAAAATTATTCATATTTTGAAAAAATTGTACACGATCTAATTTTAAGATGAATTCTAACAATAGTTTCCATTTAAGAAATCTCTACTGAATTGTTGCAATTTTCAAAAAATCAGTTTTCAATGAAAATGAGACTTGTGCCATCTTTATAGCAGTACTTTGTTCTATTATAGAAAAAAATCATTACAACAATGAGCCATTTTCGAAAAAAATTTTAAAAAACGTTGAGTACTCCCAAAAATTGTTATATCCTTTTCAAATACGCAGAGAATCCAGTTTGTTCAGATCAATCGGAGAATATCCAATTTGGGGTAAATTCGTGTAGGCGCTTGTTTTGAAGGCAGGTAGACGGGCGCACGAACGGACAGAGGAATGGACGGAAACACACGAGCACACGGACGAAATAACGACGGGCAGAAAGATGGTCGGATGGATCAACAGACGAATAAATCGACGGATGAACTGTCGGACGGATGGACCAACGGACGGACGGAAGGACGGTCGCACGGACGGACGGTCGGACGGATGGGCAGACGGACGGGCAGACGGAAGGGCAGACGGAAGGGCAGACGGACGCGCAGACGGACGGACAGACGGACGGAGCAGAGCACGGACAAGACAGACGGACAGACAGAGGAACAGACGGACGCGACAGACGGAGGACAGACAGACGGACAGACGGACGGACAGACGGACGAGACAGACGGACGACAGAGCGGACGGACAGAACGACGGACGTGACACAGACGGACGGACAGACGGACGACAGACAGCACGGACGGACAGACAGACGGACGGACAGGAACAGACGGAACGGACAGAACAGACGGAACGACAGACGCAGACGCGACGGACAGACAGACGAGCGACGGACAGACAGACGGACGGACAGACAGACGGACGGGACAGACACGACGACGGACAGGACAGACGGACGGACAGACAGACGAGGGACAGACGGACGGACGACAGACGGACGACGGACAGACGACGGACAGAAAGACGAGAACGGACAGACGGACGGACAGACGGGACGGGACAGACGGCGGACAGCGGACGGACAGACGGACGACAGACGGACGGAACAGACGCGACGGACAGACGGAACGGACAGACGACGGACAGACGGACGGACAGACGGACGACAGGACGGACGGAAGACGTACGGACAGAGACGGAAGTACGGACGGACATGACGGACGGACAGAGGCACGGAACCAGACGGACGACAGACGGCACGGTACAGACGGACGGACAGACGGAAACGGACAGACGGCACGGACAGACGACGGACCAGACGGACGGACAGGACGGACGACGACGGACGGACAGACGGACGACAGACGGACGGACAGACGGCACGGACAGACGACGGCCGGACGGACAGACGGACGGACAGACGGACGACAGACGGAACGAACAGCACGACGGACGACGGACGGACAGACGGACGGAACAGACGGACGGACAGACGGACGCGACAGACGGACGGAACAGACGGACGGACAGACGGAACGGACAGACGGGGACGGACAGACGACGGACAGACGGACGGACAGACGGACGGACAGAGCGGCACGGACAGACGACGGACAGACGGACGGACGGACGCGACAGACGGACGGACGGGACTTTTTCCGGTCAATTTTTTTATCAGGACCCACAAAACAGGGGAATTTGATCACACAGTGTCTAGGGAAATTAAGGATACCACATTTAGAAACAGATCTATCCAATTTATCGATATTTTGGCTGCAATAGTAGACTTTATCCGTCGAATAGTCGCTGAATGTCACTGGACTGTAACAACACACACTGTTCTGTTGCACACACTCAAAGAAAGCGACTCTTGAATCTAGACGATTCTCTTTGGTGCCGAAGAAGTTTATCATCTTCACTGTTGTGTTCACGGTTTCAATGTCGATATAACCTCTCGTCAAAATAATTAATTTTGCTACAGATTCACCAACAGTATCCAATTGATTTTGAACAGTTAAACTGGGATTGAAAATTTACACTATGCGATTTGATTTTGTTGCGATGAATCAGATTAAATTTAAGATTGCCTTCATGTGAAATGCACATCAAAACACTATCTTAATGGATTTAACAAATTTGCTCTTGTCAATCAACACGACATTAAATATTATGGGTTTCGATATATTATTCCCATATTTGGATGGGTACTTGTTCTAACTGTTAATTATTCTGTAGGCCGAGACTGTTATGCCATTTGAAAATTGCTGAATATAAATTACTCCATGAATGTCGTATTTTAAGGAAGACATTTTTGTAGATTGCTATCGTAATACGTTCGTATGAAGTACAAAGAAATTATCCGAATAATGATTATGCCCAGCACTCTGAAAAGTTTAATCTAATTTCTTATTCTCAATGTCGCCTGTCGGCAAACAATTCCCCCTACCATCAAAACCTTCCCTCAAAGGAAAACACGACAAGCACCTTTCGCAAAGGACTAGCACTAGAAAATGAATGCACCAGAGGAGGAAAGTCTGGAGTGCGCGCAGCGCCGAGTCACTTCTCAAGGAGGCGGGCAGTGGGGCAGGGAGGGACTGCGGAGGCGCGCGAAGGCGAAGGCGGCCGATCGGGAGCGGCGCGGCGTCGGTTGGCGGGTGCTCAGACAGCGGTGCGTCGGCGGGGGGTGGGGCGGCGGGACAGAGGCAGGGGCGGGAGCCGGGCCAGCCGAGCAGTTTCGCCGCACGCTCTATCGGCGGGCGGAAGCGGAAGCGAGGCGCTATTGTGAATCAACGGTATAGAGGTTCGGATGCCCAGATCTTTAGCGATAAAAGTATTAATGCAGACGGGGCGTGTACGGGGTGAAAGACGGGGCGCCGCCGCGGGCGGAGCGGGGAGGGATGGGGTGGGATGAGGCAGAGCAGAGCTAGGCAGGGCTGGGCGGGGCGGCGGGACGAGACGCTGAGATAAGGGAGAGGCGGGGTCGCGCGGGGCGGGACGGCGCGGTACCGTTTCTAATTGTGGGCGGCTTTCCGCGGGGCGCGGCGGTCGCCCGCGCCTCCGCAGCATCGGCGTACGGTGAACAATGCAAGGTGGTGCGGGGGCGGCGGGGGAGTGGAGGACGCGTCGTGGGGGCAGGAAAGACGGCGTGGCCACAAGAGTTGCGTCGCACGTCCTGTCTCTTGGAGCTGCTTGATGCGCTGACGAGACACGCAGCTTCGCAACGCAAAATATCAATCAAACATTGCGTACGCTTTGCATATACCGTCACCAGATAATTTACTTCTCAGTCTTCAGTTCCTATGCAATGTGCTCATAAATACTCGTAACACGTAATAGCACAGATAAAAAGCACAGAAATTCTTTAAGAAACACTTCTAACAGGAACATGAAATAGAATTAAAGCAAGCACCTTCCTGTTTATCACAAACTGTTTTTATTTCCAGCGGCTCTGCTACACATACATTCAGCGCTCGACACCGACCTAACACCTAAAATTACCTCCGGAACCTTGGAATCTGTCTCTCGACCTCCCTGCCGAAACAATTCCTGGGAGAAAACGATGTGGTTGCTTACCCTGAAGATGAAGAGGCAGAGGCCAGCGGCGAACGGTCGCGGTCGTCTCGCTCGCCACGCACCGCTCTCTGCTTCCGCTTCTTATCCCTCCACTCCCCACCTTCCTCTTCTTCCGCCACTGAGGATTCGTGGCCTCCTTGCGCCTCACTCTCCGGTTTGTAGCTTCTCGTCTCCTTCGGAGGCGGCATGGCCTGTAACAAAACGAATGCCACGCGCTTGTTCAGGCTGGGCAAAAAAAAAATCTTCTCACTCATTCTCGACAAATATCAATACAATTTGCGTCTTAGATAAGTGTTTCTCATTTCAAAGAATTTCATATGTGAGTATGTATGTTGTAAATCCCATTGTATATTTTCCAAGAAAAAGAAAAGAAGTAAAAATGCTTAATTAGTAAAACGTATAATTATTAAGAATAAATATTTATAACATTTTCACTTTCATATTCAATATTTCTTCGTGCTTGAGTTTGAAATTTAATCCCAGTCAATTTTGTTAACTCTACAGAATCTATGGCTCTATATGAAATGTAAACATCTTTCCCTTTCCTTCATCAAAGGCATTTATAAACAAAAACAAACATTCAATCCTCACGAAAGCACTTTAAAGAATAAAACGTACAAGTGATGTAACATACATCAATTTAGAAGTAAGTAATTAAAATAGAACCAATCAGTTTTAATTTAACACAAAAACTGCAGAGATTTTTGTTAATCAGCAAACCTAAAGTAGAAACACTTCATTTTAATGTTCAATTCCATATACGAAAAACTTAAAATTTAAAATCATGTACAATTAGCATACATCCATCAATTTTGCCATGGTGGATGGCTGGTGAAACACCCATTTTCGATTTTCAAGATCCCTTGGAATCTAATAATGAGAACCTACTCTTTTCCGAAACAGTCACGCACCGCCAAGCATTGTTGCGCGCGCCAACAAAAGCACGCGCAGCGGGACGTTATAGATTTTACGTGTTTTACACGTTTAATTGGGCTGTAGCCAGCGGCGGCGGCGGGGCGAGGGCGGTCGCCACGGCGGCGGCGGCGGCAGCTCACGCGACGAGTCGAGCAGGTCGCTGTCCATCATCATTGCGAAGCTGCAAAACCGACGCAAAATGAAGGCGCGTTTCTTTGAATCGGCGTCCAGGAAACACTCGGATGGGAGTGGGGAGCAGCACGGCTCCGACGAAAGTGATTGACCGGCGCTCTGTTATGAGACTAATTAAAAGTCAAGCCATGAACGCGCCTTGCTCGTTGCCAGACAGACATAACCTTAACCAACAGTAATGGCGATGAGGTTGGGTGTGGATTTACCGGTCGGCCAGTCTGTCTACGCGCGCGCGCGCGCCGCGAGCGCTGAAACGATGGCGACGGCGGCGGAGACGGCGGCGACGACGGTGATCGCTGGCCATCTCTATCACACCCTTCGTCACCATCGCCATTGATGTCGTCTTTGTCGCCGTCACAGCCGCAGCCGGTAAAGCAGTGCGTTACACGGCGCTGCAGCCATCGGTCGGTCAGGTACAAAGAGGGTGCGGCGATAGGCGCGCGACCACGCGATAGCTTCTTTTGAAACATATCCTCAAGTCGGCCCTTCGTGCATCTCTCACAACGTAATTGTAAAATATGCGTTCTGGACACTTACGTGGCTGTTCGGGGATTTAAACAATCTTTGTTCTTTGTAACAATAAACCAACTGTACAAACTGAAATTTGCACGTACTATTGTGTCAGGGATCGTTAACAAACCCAGTGTCCATGTGCGGCGGGGAATATAAATTAGGGGCGCACCCAAAGTGAGAGGGAGGGCTCATGGGGCATCACTCTGCCCCTCCCCGTCAGACGCCAAAGACAGTAGATTAATTGATACACGGTTTGTATATTCACTTAATCTCTTCAAATACTCCTGGATTCTTTTCGTAATGACGTCCGCAATAATTGAGATGTTTAGACCGTATAAAGTGTCCTGTTAGTGATGAATCGCATTTTGGCAAATTTTCTGTAGGAACGAAAAGTCATTCAATATCTTAATTGGATACACTATAGACAATTGTAAATCGACAAAGAAAAATTAACTTTAAATTTAGTATGGATGAAAAATTATGTATAAGGAAACATCAAATTGACTGAACACCACAATTAATGCGCCCTTCACCGAAAACTCCTTGTTGCACTCATATTTAAAAACATACTTTGTTAAAATTCGCCTTGAAATAAATATTTGTATTATCTTGCGGACTCCAAAGCTCGGCATATAACACATTTCTGGGAAAAGATGACACGCCAACATTAACGAGTCCAAATAAGTATACTGAATACGTTGGTACAAATTAGTCAATTGGAAGAAAACATAGATATCACAAATTTCAGAATAATACTGATTTTGTGTAGAATAAAATCGGTTCTACTGTCCAAACAATCTACATTACTATTTTCTTAAGTGTGAAGAACTGCGCAGAGTTCGGCAACATGAGAGGTGTCAATAGTTTTGTTAGATATACAGAAAATCTGGTAAAATTAAAACTACTAGTGCTATAACAGTAGGTACTTTTTCGGCCGTTTTTTCAGGCAAAACTACGCAAATGATCGAAAAAAAATTTTCATTACCTTATTTCAAAATCTGTCTTCAAGAAATATATTTTATTAAGGAAAAATCACTTATCTTTAATATTTTATTTGTAGAAAAACAATTTTGGAGAAAATTGACTGAACGGCTAGCGTTGTTCACATACATAGAAGGACGGGCAGTCAGGCATTTTACCGTCATTTGGTTTTTCGATATCAAGGACCCACAAAACATGGATTCTCGCTACATCACATGTTAGAAGATTTTCTAAATTTAGCAACTGTATTTGTTCAACTTTTCATTATCAGGGCACTGTAATACGAGTTTCTTGTCGCGTATTCGCGCAGCTTTCTACTCCGTAGCGAGAAAGTAAAAACAATGAGTTTCGATTTTGACTTAAAAAGCAAATAGCTGATTGTGTTATTCCGCCTATGCGCCTACTGCGCGTACCAACCAAATACTCATTCTCACTGCATTACTGCTTACGACAGTTGGACGGTTGGGCGCCCGATCTGGAATGAGGTATTATATTGCTTTAGTGCGGCCGTTTTCCAGAGCTGTTGCACAACACTCCTCATTCTATCAAAGCTAAAAAATTTGTTATATTTAATATATTTATAATATATATATATATATCTTTGAATCTCACTCGGAAATGCTCGGAGCAGAGCTTGAGACCGTCTTTCGATTTTGGTGCAAATTCCTAGTGAATGCGAAAAGCCGAAGGAATGGTAATGAAAATATTTCAAATACTTCTATATATGGGCGTGTCAGTTTGTTATAATCTTTTACAACGCAAAGCTGATGAAGCTTTTTTTTTTTCAAATGTGTATATATTGCAATTGAAAATCAATATTGCAACATAATTATTTCATTCGAATGGATTTGTCTGCATACTGCCGATCGATGGCTCAGGGCATCAATGGATGTCACTGCAGTGCCTCTGACCAGGAGGTCCTGGGGTTTGGGTCTCGACGGTGGCAGGATTTTTGACACTCGCTAGATGACTACGTCGAATCCACCCCCAGTCTGTAGGAAAATTATAGCGGCCAACTGCTATGATCGGCAGTTTTCCGAGTTTTTTTTCAACACCCAGCGAATGCCGGAGCAGTACTACGAACTGAGGAACCTTTGAAAAAGAACATTTCGTTAACCAAGATAACAAGTCCTTGTATAATCCTCAAAATAATGTGGGAATGATTTGCAGAATTACATTTCGTTCTTTACATTATTATTTTTAATTGTAGATAGAAATTGCAATGTAGCAATCAACAATCATATTACCAGAGATGGAACTTCGTGATTGACAGTTGGGCGCCGACTCTTCTGTTTCCACATGGAATCACCATGCGAGGAAGCGGGCGCCGGGCCAATCAGTTTTTCGTTATCAAAACCACCTCCGGCCCGCGTTGTCGATGGAATGTAAACATCAATGTCACTTCATGTCAAGTCTTGGGTGATTGGCAACGAAGCATCATGTGCTCGCTGTCAGTAACAAAGAAAGATCTACTAAAGCGTATGTGAGAATTTTCAAGAGAAACATTATTATGAACCATTTGTTGTTTTTTATTCGAAAAATATTTTACGTTTAGATTTATCGTTTCGTTTTTACGGACATTTACGACAAAAAGTTGCAAATGTTAAAAAGTATGTAAGCTGTGGAGTTTTCAAATCTGTAGAGCTTTTTAAGAGTGGCTTGTACCTAAAACACATTGTTTCCCACTTCACAAACTATAACTTCTAGACAATTAAAAATTGAATTAAAAATCGAATTTGATCGGATTGTCAGCCCTGCTTTTGAATCCTCACAAAGGCGGTACGACGTATTTGAAGCAAATCACGCAAACAATGATATCTTAACTCAATTTCAATACAACTTTTATTTAATCGCTGAATGGGGTTATTATTAGAAATTCTAACAAATTTACGAATTAACACCATCGATGTACTGTTTATGAAGGAGAATGCGAATTTTTAAAAGCAAACGATTATTTCCATACAAATTACAGACGAATTTTCTTTAATATTTCACGTACACATGTTAACAAATATCTCTTGAATATGAAAAGCTCATGCTAATTAGGAAAATATGTCCGGAATCACTACAATAGGTACTGAGATACAATGGTTAACATTTCTCATTAGACGTAACGTAGCCAAAGGACATAGACGCACGGAAACCAAATAATAATGTAATGGAAACGAATCAGGAGGCATGCCTTTTCTTCTCAGCACATTGCTCTGTATTGAGCCCTGCAGCCAATCTCTGCAATTCCTTGTTCCTCCGCAGGACGCGGTGCATTGAACGCATCATCGAGAGCAGGGGCAAAAACAAAGACGAGGGGCTCACAACGAGCGACAGCTCATGGGCCTCGGGCGGGCCCGACTGCACGCCTGCGGCTGAGGCGGCGGCGGAGGCGGAGGCCTAGGCGGAGGCGGCGGCGGCTTTTGGGTGCTTTCGGCCGGCGCTTTGCAGTGCTAGTTAGTCGGCGCTGGAGCGCCTGAGGCTGCGGGCTCACTCTGGGCGATTCGCCACGCTAATTGTATGCGTGATCGAGGCGAGCCGAGAGGCCCGCGGGCCCGCGCCGCTCGCCTTGAACCGCCGCCTCCGCGGCCGTCGAGAAGGC